TTAGATGATTCAGAGAAAAGCCAAAACGCCAAAACTTTATTAACAGAATTTATTAACCAATAAAATTGCATGCTTTACATACACATATATACCTCAGTTGTATTAATAATGGAAGGGAAATTAGAAATTGGCTCCACTAGCAGTGAACCTACTCTACAGGGGGCTTTGTATTATCATGGATACTGGTCCCAAGACAAGGTATATTTTTGCTCCAAAATGCTTCATTCTGCTTAACTGTAATATTTTTTAACTTTGCTCAACTTCTTTGCAGTTGATAAGAATTTGGGATCAATGTTGTTGTCCTTCCTTTATCCTTGTCATTGCCAGACCCTAGCTTTGTGTTCTTGGGGCAGTGTACACCACTAAGGTTATTGTTGAGCCTCTCACTGACTTTGTTTCCCTGTGTTAAATCACAAAATGAGCAGCAACTGTATTGAGTTGCATGCATATTTGAAGCCCTGCAACCAGCTCAAGACATTTTATGAGACAACTTTAGATTTAACCCTACCAAAGAATGATCAACATTTTTTTCCCTACATAAATACTTACATGGACTGCATGGTGAACAATTTCACCTATATAGCACCACTTATTATTATCACTAATGATTTCAAAAAACTACTCTTACTCTGGAAAGCACAAGCAGCTGATGGTTGTAAACTTGTTGTGAAATTCACACAGAGATATGATCATAATGCACACATCCTATGTGCTGAGGCTGGGTTGGCTCCTCAGCTGCTCTATGTTGATGCTCAGCATGGATTTATAATGATATTGATGGAATACGTTCACAGACACCTGCTTAGTTCATACTCACCAGCAGAAATTCAGGGCTTGTCACTGGATTCTTGCCATAGAATCCTTGCAGATATTACAGCAGCTATCAATGTTTTGCATCAGACAAACACTGTATTTGGCAATCTTCACCCTCTGAACATTCTGGTAGTGGATAATGGGACTCATGGCATGTTGGTTGACTTTGAGTGGTGTAGTCTCCATAAAGAAGGCAGGTACAATCTTATCATCATTTCCTCATTATACTTGCTTGTATCAGTTTTTCATTGCACACAAAATTTTGTTATCTATTTTTCCGAAATTTTCCTCCTACTTTACATAGTAGTCATCCATTGAATTTGTAATATTTTTACATAAAACAGCCAGTTTATTACCAGATAATCTTTGTTTCTCCCACGGTTTATTCTTTGGTATGTTACATATAAAACTTTTGATCAAACAGAAGTCTTCCTGTCATGCTCTAAAACGTTTGTGTCTTTTGGCTTTTTGAGATTGTTTACAATGGAACAAAGATAAACCCTCATTTTTGGATGTAATTTTATTTGACAAATAAACGTTGTTGGGGTATAATCTGAAAGTGAAGTAAAATGTTGTAAATTTCAACCTTCAACCTTGTGTAACATATTTTATAAAGTTCTCAAAAATTAAATCAGAAGTCAAAAAAACCTTTTCTTTGGTAAATATTTTCAACGAGACATAAACAAGCTGATAAAAATATGTGGACCATAATAAACAACGCGTTTCTTGTTTATTGTTGCAAAATACTTTCGATTTTCTGAGGGCCATTTTTTTCGTAACACACTGTAAGTTTAATAGGTTTGAGGCGGCTGTGTGTGATAGAATTGAGGCGATATATGACTTTCACATAATAACCGTCCTTATATCATGTATTGATATTTTACCCACGTCAACGATAACTGCAATGAACAACATATAAGTTATATAAGCATTGAGTTGAAATTCGATTTCAGGAAATAAATTCTGATGTTTTACTTGCGGAAAAGAATACAACGCTCCAGATTTACCTCGTTAACATAGAGGGGAAAAAAACTATTTGCGGTCACGTATTTGAATTGTTTTGCAGTCACGTATCTGGATTGTTTTGCAGTCACGTATTTGGATTGTTTTGCGTCACGTATTTGGATTGTTTTGCAGTCACACTAACACGAGGCTACACAATATGACTTCAACTCGCGAACAATTTTTCCAATGGCTCTCTGACAATGTTTCAGCTGATACAATAAAACAATTTGCTTCCTATCGCTGGGACGCATTGCTCAATACAGACATTCAGACAGGTAACGACTTTGTGATTTGGGCATTGGTAGTGTGTACATAGAGTAGAGTAGACATTATGATACATTTATTTTATTGCACGTTTGTTGCTTAAACGTAGGTGGTAGAGTAGACATAGTAATATGGCTGGGCTGTAATGATAGTATCCCTAATTATGCCTTACTCGTATATCTACTTGCAGTAAAAACCTCACAAATCGACTTCGTCAACAACTACCACCCACCCTTCGTTACGTACATGACAATATCAGATTATCGTCGTAAACCAGAACGTCTCATTGAATGGCCTCTTTAAGAATATCGTTCGCCGCCATAAGCCTTCCACCACAACTTGCCACCATTCAAGGGCAAGTTGCTAATGTGAATACGAACCTTCAAAACCTTCAACAGAAACATTTCGTACATATAAGGCTATTGCTGATAAACCTGACGTTCAGGCAGCGTTTGAACATAATATGCTGCCATCCCTGTCCGAAATAATCGGATCGAAACTCAATAGACCCGCGATATTTGCTCGTCATAATGTTCTATCTATTATCGATTCTTAATAATACGACATACCTAATAACAACAATAACAACACCGCACCATGATCAACAATATTGACATAAGAACAAAACTTTCTGGATTTATACAAAAAAGTCAAAAAATGAGACCGAAAACAAAAGCATCTCGATATTATGTAATAGTAAAGTATAATTCACAACAACATTAAGGGGTAGCTCACAACAGTAATTGCAGTAACCAGAAGCATACATCATTGATAAATAACGAACCTTTCTCACCGCCTATTCTCTTATCAACTCTTTCAAGTATGATTCAAGACTCGTCGTTGGCTGCTGCAATAGGTCTCTTATTCAATGCAGCGAAAGTACTGGCTGAACAACAAACCAATATTAATATGACAATCGAACTATTATTTGTGTATGTACCCAAGCAATCTCATTGGAATTTCACAACAGACAACAACTGATTGAGGTTTTATAAGTCATCATGTACAAATAATCTCATAACACCTTGGGAAATATAATAAACATGTTGTTTGTTGACAGAGATTGGCTAAATACAATTTGGCTACAGTAACAGTATGCATGAAGACACAAGGCTATGATTATGACAAAAGCTTACTTACTGGGCTTGCAAGGTTTCACAGTGGAGGATATGTTCACTGTACTGTAACATCTGACCACCAAATACTATTGCTATGCACTTTCTGCTGCATCTCTTCCATCATCCTGCCATGATCTTATAAACACTGAGCATGATGTCCCTGAATATGAAAGCTATAACTATGTACTCATTGATTTTGAACATGCTGGAACTGATGGGAAACCCACCTTGGAAGACAGTCAAACCTCTTTATACCAATACTGATAATTGGTTTATACTGATAAAATTTCATTTACCCAAATCAGCTTTATTAGATTGTACTGTTATAAAGAAGGCCTCTGATTATACTGATAAACTGATTATACTGATAAAAATGACCAGTGCCACTCATATTGGTATAAAGAGGTTTGACTGTATACAACCAGGTCAGATATATATCAATTAGGGAAAATGTTGAAAAGCTTTGGATTGGTGAAATCAGAGGACTTGTTAAAGAAATTGATGGAAAAGAATATGTCAGCAGAGCAGGCATTAGATCATGAATGGATTGTAGCATAGAGAAATACATAAGCTATCAGCCACAGAAAAATCAATTAATATAAATATAGTATATAAATAAACAAGCTTTGTACATTTGCTAAAAACTTGTATATTAATAATAAAACAACAAAATTTTGATTGTATCTGTTTCACACAATGCTGCTTTGCCTTTTAACTTTTATATTCTTCTATTAATAATTTTAAATTCAACTGTTTATTGAGCATAAACAACTTGGTGGTCAAAGATTTAAATATTTGCTTTAGCACTAAAGAACACAACTAAAATTTTTAGAATTATAGAATGTGTTTGAGTTTGATTGAAAGTAATTGATTTTAGACTTAACTATTAGTGCAGTTAATGAGGTGAAAACTAAATAGGTAGAACTATGTGTTAGAATTATTGGCGTTGACGTCATCGATTTCGCAATTAAAAATATGCCGCATCGCGCCCCACCTACTTTATAAACGCTCGCAAAAATCGTTGGTGTGTTGAAATAGTGATAAAAATTGTTGTAGTCCGTTGAGCAAATAATATTCATATTAAATAAAATTAATTAAATTTATTGTCTACGATTGTTGATTGGATTCATATAAGGAATTCCTTAATTGGACGCGTCAAATTTTGTAATTAATATACTCTTCGACCAATACCAAGGATTATTGGTTGTTGTTCTAATGAATAGTTCTATTCTTGTGCGTCATTGGTGCTGAGCATCAGCCGACAGGCCAGCTTACGGAAGTTAGATTTGTATCTAGCTGAGGTTAAGCGGACGCCAGAGTATCAGACCAGACAGGAAAGAATAGTTCAATTATCGGTGCAATAATATTATTATTACTATTAGCGAAACCATTGATCTTGATATACTCGCAGGGATCATACCCCCAAAATCAAATTTCATGCAACCCCATTGTTATTCCGCAATATTATTGGTCTAAACAGTTTGACTATCACCAATTTTACCAGTACCCTAGCCATATGGAAATATTCAGGTCGGCCACAGCATAAACAATAATAATAACAAATACAAAGTAAACGCATCTTATTCATTTTTATAGTAGTTGTATATATTTTTTACGAAATTTTGCGTAACCAAAACCATATTTAGTAAATCGCCAAGATTACACCATGAAACTCCGGTCAAAGTTATGGTAAGTTCAAATACAAGTAAAAAACTATAATATCTATTCTAAGTTAAAGTTTCTAAGCGTAAATTGCCTAATATTAATAATTGCGCGTTGACATTGTAAATCATTTATTAATTAAGATAACATACTGTAACTCTAACCTTTCTTATATACTAACTTCACACAACAACATAACTGAAATTAACATAACTATCTCAAAGTATTCAAGCATACGTATATCTCTTCTGTGTCATTATTTACATAATTACATTGCCATGTTACAAAGAAAACTGCAAGCCAAGACGCAATAATCCGTTATATGATATGCGACTTGCAATCATTGTTCTGAGACTCAAGACATTGTACTAGTGTTATATAAACGAGATAGATAACAAATTTATGAGGCGTTGACGAAACATTTATACTGAAAGGTGAAGAACGTTTACTTCGAGTAGCTAATAATAAAAGCGTGAAGTTTGTTTATATGTATGTTGTACCTCAGTTGGGGACCTGTCTCAGTTCTGGACTGAGACAACTGGGTGTGTCTGGGTTCCGAACTGAGACAGGTCCCCAACTGAGGTACAACATGTACAAATATGGCACACGATTTTTTACTGCTCAACAAGTACCACACCAGGGAGACGCTCCGCTCCGATACTAGTTTAGCAAAATTGAATTTACTTGCAATTGCAAAATTTACATGCAAATTTTTGAAAACCTAACCTACAAATTGATATACACAGTCTCGGTTTTGGCTTTCGGCCAAAATCTTTTCTACGTTCGATAAGTCGGCCAATCTATGTAAATTCTCGATAGGTTGTAAGCTCCAGGCGAGTTTTAGTTGAACACATTTTGATAAGTTGGTATTTCGTGACAAATGTGCTTGTACGATCTTATAAATCATATAAAGCACTACAATCGAATAGAATAGTTAAAGCTTAAATAGTTCTGTATTATTAGGGACAAGATTACAACGTCAGATAAGAAAAAAGCAGATTGATTCTCTAAGACAAGCTAGTCTGCAGGGCAAATTAAAACGAAATCGGATTAAAACGAAATTTGGGGTTTTCTTGGATCCTCTTTTAATGCCTCTGAAACCCTCATACAGTAACACCTCCATAAATGCAACCCCCATAAGTGCAATCCCCCTAAATGCAACATTTTGCTCGGTCCCAAGCTTGGGACTTAGTGAATAAGTGCAATCCCCCGTTTTCTGCAATGCGAGTCCCGCTTAAGTGCAACTCACGTGATTTACATAATGTTATTTGTTGCAGCTGTAGCACAAAATTGTTTCACGTACAATATTATTTCTTTTGTTTAGTGGAGAACTAATAGTTATTTAAAAGCCGTTAATAGTTTGGAGAAATTCATTCGCGAAAAACAGGTAACTTTAATAAAACAAAGTAGTATTACACAATTCTTAGTTAATAATTAGGGATATTGATATCCAAATTTTGTATGTAACCTTGGCTGGAAATTATAATAAGGAAAATCTGTTTAATAGACGTAAATCGTTAAAATATCTTTCCTAATAAGGAAACCCCCCCCCCATAAATGCAACGCAGCCCTCGGTCCCGAGGCATTGCATTTATGGAGGTGTTACTGTATACTCTTCTATTAACAAAAGTTACCCCCAAAAAAGCCTAGAAATTGCCCCCCAAAAAATTTAAACTTTCATATTAAAAAGAGAAAATTTCATTTTAATCCGATTTCGTTTTAATCTGTCACAATTATTAATAAAAGGCTTATTCACGTGATTATCGATAATAATAAGTCGGTTAAACCCGTTTGGCCGACTTATCGAGACTGACTGTGTACATATGTATTTGATTAGATAGTAACACCTACAGAAGCGCTGCCGATGGAAGCAGAACAATAGTATACTGAATTAAAACAATTAATAAACGTTGCTAAAATTAGATTAATTAGTCTTTTTGAAAAATATAAAAGCAGCGTAGATTTCAGTGTTTGTCTGTCAGTCCGTCATGTTCATATTATTCTAATTACTTTATATTCCTTTATTGTAAATATTTCTAATAAATGAGCGGTTCTTTATACTCTGAAATACATGGTTAATGATTCATTCCCTGGTAAATTATTGGTATACTAATTCCTATATCGATTAAGAATAGTCGCCTCTTGTTTACGTGTAATTGTTAATATATATTTACAATTATTACAGAAAGGCTAACAGAGTATCTATCTATTGCCTAAGATATATTCGTGACAAGATGCCTTGTAAGTCTGCGACAAGTGTACTACGAAACGCGAATTATAAAGGACGACAGTCAACGTAATTATATTCGTTTTTAGAGATATAATATGAATGGATAACCAGATAGTATAATAAAGTTGGCTAGTCAGTGGCCTTACCATTAAGCATCTACACCACAGAGCATTATTGTCGCGGTGAGGGGATGCAGTTGGCTTCCCTTGGCAAATTCAGAAAAATCGACAATTATAGAAACGGAACAATTTTTATAAAAGAAGCAGCTTCTTTTTTTGCAAACGAATCTTTTTTTATTGCTTTCATTTTTGGTTCGTTATTAAAAGGCATAAAATAAGTTGTAACTGCCAACTAAATAATATGCGAGCCATTATTGAGTCTAATAAGAACCGCCACGCAAACGTTTAAATATTAATAAAAACTAGAAAGTCTAATTGGTTCCAATAAAGAACAAAACTGTCGGCAATAAAATTTGCAAGTTACATGTTAAAAAACGGTGGTCGTGACTGTCTGATAATTATAATATACTGTAACTGGGATAATTAGACAACCATGTTGTTGTTAAATTGGGGCAGTTTGCAAAATTTTTTATTTCAACAGCTCGAACAGCAATTGCAAAAAATTAACTAGCATAAACGAAAAAATACAGTAAATGTATACATTTGGGATTTAATAGACCAATTGCATAGGAGAAAGTATTCGGACCCTAAGGCCAACAATGTCAATCCTCGAAAAAGACGATCGAAGCAATTAAGGAATAGATAGATAAAGAAATGAGTGAACAACATGTTGATAATATTACGAATAATTAACATAGTAATAGGATTCGCCAGCATAGCCAAAAAGTATGAATATTCATAAATAGCTCTTTGTTTTCACGCAGCTTGCGAAATTTTGTAATCCTTAATTCAATTTCCTGATTTTATTGTTTGGGTTATATAATGAAATTGATTGTAGGTTTTGTGAGTCAAGCAAAGCACCAGCAATAAACATGATCAACAGAACAATCCGTAGAAAATTTAAATAGCAAAGGTGAGTGGATTGTTATTTGCCTTTGTAGTACATAATATTATGCGTTTGATAATTGATCGTGATTTTAATTTAAGCAAAATGACGGCCAGTGTTCAAGTCTATTAAAAAATAATGAACTATGCCATGAATGTAGACTTGAAACAATTACATGATTTGACAACCGATTTGTGTGTCATTGCTTTAATGTTTAATTTTGTGTTCATATTAAAGGGTGTTAATTATTACGGAGTAAGACAAAAAATATAGTATTGTTGAACCCCTGAAATCTTCTATAACAATTATATTTAGGTCAAGGGTTAAAGTTTGTAGTTTTAGATTGACCGAGTGAATTAAACTTAATTAATTCAAAGTCTCGCCTGCCTTTAATTTTGTTATAATAATAGACCTTAGTTCTATATACGTTATGGCCTGACCAGACCTGATCTTCCATCTATCGAGCTTTTGTGGGATCGTTGGGGTCATAAGGGTACAAACTGCAGGGGATTGGCGATCTCGCGATAATTGCTGTGGCTTATAATTTACCCCTGAAATTTGATCGTGGGCATATGTATGACAATGTATGACAATGTATGTCATAGCAAACGGTTTGGACGGTAAAGTCTCAATATCATGAAAAAGAAACTACAAATCCTGAGCATACTATAAACCCATATTAACACTGAACAAGTCATTAGAAAATTTGATCGCAGGTAACTTTAGATAGTTTTTGGTTTGCACGGAGCATTCTCTGGGATCAGATTGATGGTTGTGATCTTCTTTGTAATATTTATTTCATCACAAATTTACAATATACCGAACACTGCGAGTCTCTAATCTCGTAAACATTTACAATTATGCAATCAAGTCTACCTTTTACAATCGAATTACCATTTACACTAATACTAAATGATACAAATAAATTAATACATCCATATGATAATCTTATTGATGTCTTATTACCCTAATATTTAAATATTAAACCAGTTACCATGATTACTATCCTCATTACAGTCTCTGTGCTATTTGTTTATAACCGTCACCTCTATTACTACATCCCTACAGCATTGCTCATCTCATTAATTGTTTTCACATCCACTCTTTCTTTCACGTCCACTCTTTCTTTCATCAATTTTTTATCCTTATTCTTTTTCTTCATTTCACCCCTTAATCCATTCATTCCATGATCCTTTCTGGCCCAAATTCTGAAGTATCTCATGAAACTCCTGCCTCCTGTCTCAAATTCTTGCATAGCCATCTCTACAAATCTTGCATACTCTTCTCCATCCATTTCTAGTAATTCATACAATCTCGGTCCGATTGCTTTCATGAAATCCGAACAATCTTGTGCAGCTAAAGCACCCTCTTTGCCACCCCATGAGCCAAGTTTTATATCTCGTGAGTCAGTGGAGAGCTGCGAGAGTGAGTTGAACGAGCTTACGAGATCGGGAAGTGTATAGCAAGTTGAAGGATTTATTTGATTTTTGTTTAGGTAAGTCGCGACTGGAAGCAATAACGAGAGTGCAGAGAGAAAGCGGGAATAAAGAATGAATATGGAAATCTGTTAGCATGGATATTGTAAATATTAATTCGGGTAATGAGGAAGGAAGTATATACTTACGCGCCGCATTCCATCTGCTGCCGTTCGTGCCCAAATTGACTAACCTCATATCTGGTTCACCCAACTAATATTCACGTCAAAAAATCCCATTAATATTAGCACTATCAAACATTCGCACATATATATATTCATATTTAAAATAATTACCTCGATCCATCCACCAGGCTTGCAAACCCTAACCAATTCTGGTAGAATCGCACTTTTCCACTGTTCTTCAGTAAATGCGGTAGTTAACCAACGGACGAAAACGTAATCAAACGTATCATCAGGAAACGGCAGTCCATTTGTTGCGTTGAGTTGAAGAAACGATACGTTCTTTGGTTTGATTTCTGATGGAAACATTGGGGAAATATCTACACCGACAAAGGTAGATTGTTGGTACTCGCTGGCGAGTTCGAGAGTCCATGTGCCTGGGCCACAACTAGAGATGGTTCAGAAAGAGGGGGGATAAAGGGAAGAGAGAGTGAGTCAGCGGGTCAACGAGTAATAGAACCTTGGATCAGCTGTTAAATTACGGAATAATCTATTGTTTGTGAGGCTAGCAATATGGTTCGTATTGTTGTTTTTTTCCTCTATCCTTGTTGCAAGAATAATTGATTCGACCACTCGTTATTTTAAGATTAAATTTCCCCACTCTTATAATTATCCCACAACCACTTGCATACATACCCAACATCCAACACATGCCCACCATCCCGGAGCATGTCCTCAACGGGAGCAGAAAAATTCGAACTCCAAATATATCTTAATAGATAGTGTACCACTTGTAATCTATATACTTCCTCGTCATCGTCGGGCAATGCGTAGCGTGTTTGCTCTGCAATATGATAGCGCCTACCCTCTATGTACTGAAAGTTACTACCGGAAGATCGATGCGAGGATGGATCTAAGGATGCAGAAGAGGCGGAACCGTCTGAACTGTTGGAAGCATCGGAAGAGGATTTCTTGTGTTTTCGGATAGGGTAACGTTTCTTTACAGATAAATTTTGGCCCATTTTGGGGTATTTTTATTTATAGAATGTAATTATAGTGTAGGGCGAGGGTTATAAACAGTTGAAATTTGTAAAAAGTTCGTCAACGTTGATTTAGTCTGATTTAACCGTTAACATCTATTCTTAATTATTATACGTATTATATGATTGTTTTTTTGTTATTTATTGTATTTTTATGATATTTCTGGCCGTCCCTTCGATGGATGAGAGTATTTAGAATCGGGTGGTTATTGATAATTATGCGGAATAGCGGAAGAAGGGCAATGTGAACAGAGTGCGATGAGGCGTGTATATATTGGAAATTCGGCATCAAAAAACAGTAGCCTATTTTTGTTTATTATCACAATGGGTGGCAGATGACCCTGCATCGTAATAGTTTAGTGTGATGGGACATAGTATAATTAATGTCTAAAGCATATATGTACATATATATTCTGATGCGAAACCCGCCATCACCCGATAGTATATCCAAAGTATGTGCTCTCCCCTATTTCTGTTATCTTTATTTGGTCGATCATCTGCCAGCCGGTTTCTTATTGGACGGTTGCACGCAATGCAAAAGATACAAGTATAATTAATTTAACTTGCTCGTATGATTGAACGAAAGGTGTTGGCACATAATATGAGATGTTCTGTGTACATATAGGATACTATTATTGGCAATAACGTGACCACTCAATAAAAAGAGCGGGCGGGATTTGTTTCGATAGTGGGGATCAGTCTGAACACGTATCAAATTTCTTTAAAGTTTCTATTTTTGGAATAGATGTTAGTGATTAGTGGTCACGAAATGTAAATGCCGATTGGTTATTCGTGAATTTCTAGATGACTACTCGTCAGAATGATAGGCCTTGAATAAGATTGAAACACTGGCAGAGTAAAATGGCGCTAAACAGTTTATTTACTATCCAATACAATTAATTTCAATATTACAAAAGCTTATATAAAATACGGACAATGTGTCCGGTTATAGTTTTGTGTTGAAACAGTAATCTCAATCCATACGGTAAACTAATAAGGCATTTCACACAGCCCACATAACACTTGTGTCATCCGAGGGGATAATAGGTGATGTCACTCTACAGATAAATTTAAATTTGTCAGTTATACTGGTGCTAAGAGGTGACCATGCGTATTTGCGTCTGCATCTGGACATTGACTAAATGCCACTGAATTAATATTAATGCAATTCGAACAAAAAATGGGACATAAACAATCTGTTCTGTTACGTCAAGCAACATAACATCATAATGTCAATCTCTTTTTGCGAAAAAACGGGTCCGTGTGAATAATCAATTATGCTTCATTTCTTCCGCAGTTTCAAGTGCTTTATTGGAATGTTGACTTGTATATAAATGATAACAAACATACAATTCGATGGACGTGAAACATGAATGTATCATAATGCAGCACATGTAAATTGGTTTCATGTCTTGCCCACACCTGTGTATAGAAACTATATTTGTGAGTGTGAGAATACCAAATAGCAGCGAGATGACGTTTATTGACATGACATGACATGCAAGTTTATTAAAAACTTGCTAAGGCTCGTTATTGAATTTTTTGGTATATAATATCTCATACGTGTATATGTGTAGATTCTTTGTTCCAACGAAACACAAAGCGATATCTAATATATTGAAATCTAAACTCTAAATGTAGAAGACGATCAAATTGCACAAAATTTATAGAATAAAAATCAACAAGAACATTCCGACAGACTTCTCTCATCTAACAGAATAGACGTCTTTTTGAAGGCATGATCAACACGGATGGATTATAGATTGTAACATATCATAAACATCACTTTCGTAAGGACTTGTCTCTTGTGATTTGTAGAGATTCCGGTGCGGTGGGGCAACATGATCTGCAGCCAATCATGTCACATCAAATTGATAGACAATTCGACCCCCTTTGATAAATTCCTCAAACGAACATATTGTTCGGGCTAGGGGGGGGGGGGGGGTAGATAAATTTGTTCTTTATCAACAATAAGTCCCTCCCCACGGTTAAAAGGCTGTTTGCCCTCCCTAGTCAATTATTATTTTTTTTCGGGGGAAAGTTATTTTAACTGATTGGGTTTTTAGAAGATAAGATTAAGGAGTTATTTTTTCAGAAAAAAGGATACTTGGGGTGCCCGTTTCGAAACGTTTGACAGATCGACTATGCAATTGTCCACAAGTATATACATGCGAATTGCCAATGTCGTTTTTTAGTTTATCATTATTAGTTTTTAAAGTATTGGCGTTAGTTTGTAAATCCGCTATAATATCGGCTAATTTGTGGCCGGGCTTTTTTAGTTCTCGTCAATTACTCTAATTAAGAAAAACTTAGAATGTATTTCATGGCATAAGTTTCCGCACTTCCTTTGGCCTGTGCTAACATTAGGTATTTTCCATAACTAACCACTGCCACTTTACCATAGCTGATTAAATATTCAATAAGTCTAAATCAAATGGTTAGTAATTTTCTTAGCATGTGCGTAATTCACAAAAAAATTTTTGATATGATTAACTGGTGGTTTAGTAGGACCCTTTATCCAGTATTCGTATTTGCGTTAATTACCAAAACGGTTTGCTCGCTCACATATTTATACCCGCTAATGTTGTTTCCATTCTTGTTCTCTAGACAGTTCTTAAAAAGTTCCTCTTCAGCGGTTTTTTCACCCGGAATGTCTTTCATCTGAACACCACAGACTGTCAATATCGAACTGGAACTGTCGCGTCGTCGTTGCCGGGACATTGAACTGGTGGAGTTTATGGATGCTGCTGTGTTGCGATCTCAGTAGGAAAACGTTCGCTTATTAGTACGCGTTTTCTTTTTAAGACGTCGGCTGGCAGTTATCTCCCCACCATTTATTGCTTTTAGTTGGGCCATTAAAAATATATCTTGTTCAGATCTAGAGAGCTTGAAATGCCTCACATAATTGGAATTTGGGCTGAACAATCACAATCACAACCTTTCTCCAAAAAATGAATTGCTTGTTCATACTCGGTAGAACCACCATTTTTATCACTCTTTATATCAATATCCATATATTCCTATATACTAATTTTTTTCAACTTTATCTCTTTGAGTGTTCATTTTGTATTTGTGTCTACCAGTATTTCTATATCAGAGCATAATAATAACAAATGATAGAAAAAAATATGGGATTGCTATTCTTGCACAGGGGCAATTCAACTAGTCTTCTGAACATTTGACGTGCAAGAATCAAACATAATGTTGAGCATCTCAAGGTTTTGTTCTTTTTGATGCACGGGTGCTTGACCACTGAAATTGACATTAATAGGAAAGCATGACCCTTCTTTGCAAGTCGAAATAGGCCCATATAAAACTTTTGAGAAGCAATATTATTTGACTAAAATATTTAGTTATCTTACTAATTTTTCACGTACAATTATTACAAAGCTATTTCTAATTTTCCAGTTGATGAAAGGTTTGTCTTTTCTTTTCCAGAAGATTTTGATCATAATAAAGTGACAGAAGTGTTAAAAAAAATTGGAGAGGATAAATTAGTGGAAGTGAGTATTTTTGATGTTTATCAAAATGCTGAAATGAGTAAAAAAAAAAACAAAAGCCGGTGTCTTATCATTTAGTTTTTCAGAGTTCTACTAAAACTTTGAAAAATAAAGAGGTAGAAAAAAAGCATAATTGAAATTAGCGAAAAGGTAAAAAAGTTATTTATTGCTGAGTTATGAGTGAAGTAATTAAAGTTCTTCTTTTATTTTTATCATAACAATATTAATAACATGTGTATTTATGGAATAAATTATTCAGAAGAGATAGAGGAAAATAGTGTAGCACCAGGAGCCACAGTTGATATTCCGGGTACCGTAGTGACAGGAACTGTGGTGGTATTAGGGGCTACCACTTTTGCTAGTTCCCTTGCTTTAGCTTCAGCCACTGGGGTGTAATCTTTATTGTGAGGGCTTGCTTCAGTAGGAGTTTCAGCATTAGAAACTGCTGCTGCTGTGGGTATTTGTAACAAAGTTGGTGAAATGAATAATGGGAAAGGTTCAACTATCAAACTAATTAATGAAATGAGTGAGAGCAACAATAAGTTAAGGAAAGGATGATTGATTAGCAGATCAAATAAAAGCCAATATGGGCAGACTGCAACAAAACCAGACAAAGTGAACATTTTATAAATGAGAGGCTGATTATGATGTGGCTGTAAAATTGA